TGGGTTTCCTCTTGTAGTAACACTGGATCAATAAGAGATGATCTTTACTGGACCTCTAGGAAGAACAGTTTAAAACTGATAGAGCTATCCAGTATAAATAAAGTTAGTTTAGTTTAGGTTTCCTCCTGTAGTAACACTGGATCAATAAGAGATAATTTTTTACTGGACCTTTAGGAAGAACAGTTTAGAACGGATAGAGTTATCCAGTATGAATAAAGTTTGTTTAGTTCACGTTTCCTCCTGTGGCAACACTGGATCAATAAGAGATAATCTTTACTGGACCTCTAGGAAGAACAGTTTAGAACTGATAGAGCTATCCAGTATAAATAAAGTTAGTTTAGTTTAGGTTTCCTCCTGTAGTAACACTGGATCAATAAGAGATAATCTTTACTGGACCTTTAGGAAGAACAGTTTAGAACTGATAGAGTTATCCAGTATAAAAAAAGTTAGTTTAGTTTAGGTTTTCTCTTGTAGTAACACTGGATCAATAAGAGATAATCTTTACTGGACCTCTAGGAAGAACAGTTTAGAACTGATAGAGTCATCCAGTATAAATAAAGTTAGTTTAGTTTAGGTTTTCTCTTGTAGTAAGAATGCACTAATAAGCGACGAACAGAACTAGTAAATTTAGGTTATGTACTGTATACCTACCCTTTTGAGGATAATTTATTGAGGTGTCTGCTTCGGCGTAAATATTTTCCAATGGATTCTACAACGACATGAGAATGACACAAACGGATGGATAGATGTTACGAAAACTGCACTAGAAAGAGTTATATGGCAGAACATTAAGATAATATGGCGGAACATTATATAAAGTTGGCTTACATCGACACTTCCGTCTGCATCAGCAGCCCCTACGAAAAGAAAGAATAATGAAATTAATTACAGTATCAGAATTTCACAAGCAATGTCGGTTGTCCGAAACTGTTCTTCCTAGAGTTTATTTAAAAGGAAACCAACTTCATTTTTACTGAACAGCTCTATTATTTCTATACTGAAGAGTCATCCCTTACTCAGGGTGCGATAATTCGCGTACCAACGTACCGGAGGTACGCCAAATTTATGGTCTGGTACTTCTTTGTTTTTAGCCAAGTACCACGTAGGTACGCGGAAATTTACTATTCGCGTACTTACATTTCCCTTCTAGCAATAACTAGCCAACCTGCCACCACTGTATGTAGTTGAGGTCAGACAGTTAGCACCCTCGGTAAATCCACTGTAAATGAGCGATGGCATTCGAGCCGGTCACAACGTCGACGCTTTGAGAACTGTTATATTATGTTGTACAAATACCATAATTAAAGATTCATTTGTACAAAATTGCCATACATTTTTTGCTTTTGGACCAGTATTAAAACTATATGTAGGTATAAAAACGCATGACTCGGAAGTAGTCTTAGGTACGTCTTGACTCTTAAGTTTGTACCAGATCAGGTACGCGGCAAAAGTTGTCGGAGTACCAGTCAGGTACGGCCAAAAATATTGAATTATCGCACCCTGCCTTATTGATCAACCTACACTAGACTAACTGTATTCATACTGGATGCCTCTATCAGTCTTACTGCTTTCCAGTCACGCGTTTTTATACGCACGGAAAATTTTAAATCTTTTTCAATTTAAGACAAGTATGAATTACCTGTACAAATGCGTATTAAATCATTCACAAAACTACTTATATGCTTTCCTTTTATTCATTCAATTATTTCATAAGTAACATTTAAAGATATTTCAACGTTTCACTGCGTATACGCGCGTTTGAAAAACGCGTGATTGGACAACAGCCTTTACTATGAATCTGTGCTTTAAACTGTTCTCCCCAGGTGTAAGGGTTACAGTATTTCTTATTGGTCCAGTCGTATTGCAGATGGAAACTGGCGATGTTTAGTAAGGTCAAACTGGAAGCGCTCTTCTCACATACGACTGAGTTGAAAATATAATCAAAGTCTCTCACAGACAACTGCAAAAATCAAACCCAAATTCACAGTAAATTAAAAATTCATAACTACCTCTAGTTTTCTCTTTTGATGCTTTTGCAGACCGTCTTCTTGTCCACAGAACAACCAACACAACAGCAACAAGTAGAAGAAGACAACCCACAACAGCTAGGGACACAGTCGTAGCATCATTACCTCCCACACCGCCTTCCTTTCTCGCCCCAGGGGTAAGCACCGGTGGATCATCTGTCTTGCCGGTCGATTCCGTCGGTTTTCGTGTCTTTTTGGATTCCTTGATCAGAATTTAAAAGAAAAAAGCTCTAGCATTTTCTTTAGTAAACATTTCTTTTAAGGAGTGAGGGAAATGTGGAAACGGTCAGTGACTGCTTGCCAAGCATGGCACTAGCAGGGTTTTCTCCAAGCCCTGGTTTGAGAGAGATACAAAATAAATACAGACGTTTCGAGCGAAAGCAGGGTTCTGGCTTGCGAGGTTGTCCATCGGGAAGTTAGTCTAAATGGGGCAATTATGTATTGTTTTAAGATTGACTTTGTATTTCCACGCGACTGTATAGGAAATCAAAATCTGGTTCCAGCCGAAAACTTTATGAAATAAAGTATACTGTAAAACATACTCTGAATAAAAGTCTGATGATAAATTTGTAATAAGTTCGAAATCTTACTGTTGAATCTTGTTTCCTCTTGTCTTTTCTCAAATATTGAGTTGAGGTGGAACTTTTATTCTGCATCAGTATGTTTTATTTTTTATTGTTTAGGAGATGTATTCTTTCTATCTACATTCATCTATCAGTATTCAGTAAATCCGTGATAAAGTCGCGCAATTTCCATCAATGTCGGGCAAATATTTGCCCGCCCCCCTAATTTTTTCCGCCCTATGAATTTAGTGATGAAAACACGATTTCTGTAGAACGGATTCACCATCGTTTTCGAGTCTCACCTGAGTAGTCATAGAAATGGCAGGTGTTGAAATTTCGTTCGGTGTATTGCTGGAGGGCAGTTTAGTTTTTGAAGACGGTGTCCTTGACATGGTAATTGGGGATGGTGTCGTTGAGGGTAAGGTTGGGAAGGTCACTACAGTGTTAAAAGAAACAGTTAAGTATAGGGTGTGCGCTTACCAGGTGCCTTGCAAACTGACAAGTCAAAACAACGAGTAACTGGATGGCTTGGAGAACAGTTGGTTTTCAAAACAATGACAAGACAATGGAACATTTCAACGACACTATTGTTATGCCGAGGGTCCTTTAAAATAAAAAAGAAAAAAAAAGTCTGTTTCATACCCATGATATTTCCTTTAGACTTGAAGATGAAGCAATCGTTTTTGTTCACGAGACGTTCATCACTAGCTTTTTTAATTTCGTAAGAGATATTAACTCTGAAAACTTTGCCATTGTATGCTGAATTTTTTTCAACTTTATCCCACTAAAATGAAACCAAGAGGTTTGTCTACTTTCACACTCCCTTTGTACAGCATTTTTATGACGAATTATTGCGAATCGTCGCGTGCAGCGGTTACGCTTTTTCGGCCGTAAAGCCAGTTTTCCACTAGGCGGAATTTTGCGCGCGGAGCGGAATCTTTCTTTGTCTTTTCTAATTAGTTTCACCCATAGAAATATTAGACCTAGAATGCGTGCTTGGTCACGTGACCGGTGTCCAAACTGAAAACAAAAATGCCCTTATAAATCCGCCATGTTGAATTTGAGTAGGAGTGCAAACTACAAAGTATAAACAAAACTAAAACTATAAAGTTTTCATCGTCAAAACGTTTGGTATTTGTAGTTTGGGGATAGAATTGGAAATATTAAGTTCTTTAAAGGCTCAAAGCAAATGTGCCGTTACAAAAACGGTGAAAATCGTGCAGCCTTGTATAAAAAACAACTAGTTTTTTCGTGTAGTTTCGCGTATAAAATATAACTTACTCATAAAACATTTTTGCAAGCTCTGAACGTAACTGTTTTGCTAATACTTTATAAAATTACGAGATGATAGTTCATTCTTCGTCGGGTTTTGTTTTTCTTCAATCTAAACGAAGTGTTTTCATGTTTTTGAAACAAAAATATTTCAGTTGTTGATATTTAAAACTGTAAAGCTGTAAATCGCCTAAATGGTCGTCGAAAACATATGGTTTCAAAAGCGTTGCCTCAAGCTCAAGCAACGTATAAAAAAGTATAAAAAGTAGTTGTGTAAGTTTAAAAAGATTATTGAACTCTATTTATATTATAAAACAGTTGAAATATATTTTTTAAAACATACCTCTTGAGTTTCAGTTTGTCTTGATTGTTCGTGTTTTGTTTTGGCTTGCACAACAACGTTGAAAATGTATTTTGAAACGACGATTTCTCTATATATTCTGTTCAGAACTATTGCTCTTCGTAAAAAAACCCACGGGAATGGGGTTTTTTCCATTATCTCCGTCTTTTTTTCCACTTCAAGTCTGGATAGAATTGTTTTTGCAAACTTTGTTGAAAAAAACAATTCGCACTCCCGGCACCGCGCGAATTTCCACGCCACAGGAGTCTGGGACTAGCCAAAATGCCCTTATAAATCCGCCATTTTGTGGAGACAAAATTTTTACTGAGAAGAGATAGGAGCACGCATTCTATGTCTATTATTTCTATGGTTTCACCCGAGAAATCACAAGACAAAGAAAAATTCCGCTCCGCGAGCAAAATTCCGCCTATTGGAAAACAGGCTTAAGTCGACCTTCTGTGTGTCTTTATTCTGTGCCAGACAGTCCTTTGGTAATTTGTGGATTTATCAAAAAGGATGACTTATTAGAGTGTGGGTCATATTTGGGTAGAGAGGGGATCTATTAGAGAGGGGACTTATTAGAGAAGAAACTTAATAGAGGGTGAGGCTTATTTGAGTGGGGACCCTATTACAGAAATGGGGATGGGATAGAGCTTATTCGAGGTGGGGGCTTGATATTGGAAATTTACAGTATAATTACCAAAACGTTTACCTGAATTGAAGCTTCACATTTTCCATTCTTCGTTTTTGGTTTTTCTTTTTCTGGCCCCTTTCCTTTTAGTTTTTCTTTCAAAAACTTGTTTTTCATCCCACTTCCATCATGATACGAATTGATACTGATAATTTCAAACGAATTCACTTCATCATTCCAGGTATCAACTTGCCAGTTTATTTTTGCTTTACCGTCTTTGGTTAAATCAAGGCGTTTGATTCCCGTTTCTTGATCGGAACCTTTAAAATTTATCTTGCAACCTGAAATGAAAAAACAAAATATCACTACACACGCTTCTCAAACTCAAAGGAAATCAGCACCGTGTAATAATTATTTGTTTTGTCTGAGGTCTATTTTTGGCAAACATCTGTAGATAGTAAGATGAAAAACTGATGACGTCAAATCGGATCGGAGAATAACAGACGTCCATAATCGTTAGTGTTCTATTAGACCTTGCAGTGTTTTTGAAACGACCTCATTTTTAAGTCCCTTGGAAGGGATTTATTGCAGCAACTGAATTATAGATTGCAAATGGTGTTGAGATATGACGTCATTTTTACCGAGGCGTTCTTGTGACAAGTCTAGTTTACGTCATATCTATCCAGCATTCTAGAGACAAATACAATTGAGAGATGTAGTTTAATTCCTTTTCCCCTTCTTTTAACGCTTGCTGAAACCAAGCAATATAAAGGCCAAATTACACGACATAACTTTTGCCTAAAACTGTGGCATGCAACCATTGAATGCAACCTGCTTTCAACTTGAGTTGCACTGTGTAAATCAAGCACACAACTCACCTTTCAAATTTGCTTTTTTAGATATGTCTTCCATTATAGAATTACTTTGGTTGGCAGGTGAAAGTAAATAAACAAAACGGACTTCCGTTTTAGTAATCAAAGAACCATTCAAACGAGCTGTAGCTAGAATTAGCTATTCTACTAGAATAGCGCAGTCTATTGGAGTATTGACCGATTTGAAAACTAGCTACCACTATTTTACATTATCTTATATTTTATGCATTACCAGCCTAATAATTCAACAGAGACTGTTGTTATTTAGGGCAAAGTGTGAAAGTTTAAGATTGAAAACTAACCATAGCCCTTTGAAATGCGATTTAGTTTCATTATATTTATACTTTATAAAACTGTTAGTCTTGAAGTACTCTATAAAGCAACAGTGTGATTATCTTGGTTGAAATTTTGGAAGAAGAAAGAATGGCAACTATTTCTCGGATCGGTCCATAATGATTAATGACATCATGAAGTTGTGATAAATGTCTACGATCTGATATTTGCGATATAGTTACTGATAGTCTGTTTGTATGTACTCACCAAAACGAAACTCTTTGTTGATTCGACATGTCATGGTGCTTCTATCAAAAGTCGACTTTGGATTATCACAAGTGCATTGACAGCAGTTTCTGCCGCATCGCGAGTTAGTGTCTGTACAAAATTTTTCATTCTCTGGTTCTCGTTTGCAATTCGTCGCTGTAGGATTTTCAAATCTGTCGTTGGCGAAACGAGTAAGGTTAAAGGATAGGCCAGCATAGTCAGAAGCTGTCACACACACCACCAGGAAGACGAGACCAATGATAATCGCCAGTTCATGAGTCATTGCGACAAACTTCTGAAACTGATAACAAATTAACAATGTCGTAAATAATATATATCTCGCTGATTCAAATATCAAAATATAGATATTGGAGCGTACTATATAGAACTACACAATCCAATAAAAGTATCACTTCCAATATCGCTTTAAACTTGTATAATATGTACTAACAAGTAACAAGTCAATACAAGCCGTGTCAGATGTCATATTGTTTTAATGCCAGATGATTATGTAAATCAAATGTCACGCTGAGTTGATTACATTTTTGTCATGACTCGCCAAACAAGCGCCCCCATAAAATTTTAAGAAATAAAAATATGTTAGCCCACAACAAAAATGATAGTGTTTTGCCAAACGATCAAGGTTGAACTCTCTTGACCATAAAGTCAGGAATCCAGTCCACCACTTATCGAGATCACTAAGCCTTTGGATCATAAGCTGACCACGGAACAATTAAATCTACTACTTACTAGGCTAGTTTCCACTCAGGAAAATTATCCGTGGATTGGAACGGACAAGAAAATTTTTCTTTGTAGAGACAAAGAAAAATTTTCTTGTCCATTCCAATCCACGGATAATTTTTCTCAGTGGAAACTAGCCTTTATACTGTACATGGTCATGGATTAGTTTGTTAAGCCATTCAGTATTTTGTTGAATTAACGTGGAATATATTTGAAAGTAGGTTGAGTCATGGATGTTTTAGAAATGTCGTTTCAGAGCACGAGATCAAAATCTTTTAGTTTCGGTTAAACCAATTGCACTTCATTTTCTTGATATATTTCATATTTCATATTTCACTATGTCAATGAACTGAAACTTTCACGATCTTTTTGGTAGTAACGGCCGTCCATATACTATAAGTATGTCCTGTTCTTTGAGATTTGAACTCTATAAGAGTTAGGAATAGCAGACGGAAGTTAAGTTAAGCATTAGGAAGCATTAAGTAGTTAAGCATTAGGAAGTTTAAGCTATCAAACTTACTTAGAGATCAATGAATTCTTCTTTTCCCTGAGAAGTGTTCACGAGATTATTTAAACTCGGAAATGCATGCAGTACAGACATTAGTGATGATCTTGCATTCTTTATATAAAGCCTTCTTTGCCTTATATTAAGAATTCATGAGATTCGGGCTCTCAACTTATGGAAATAGAGCTGTACATGTACGGTGTGTAACACAGGCTGCTCTCAGACATGCAGCTGAGCGATTAAGTTTGCAAATATTGGGTGGTGATGAGTTAACTCTTATACAGTAATCATCAGAAATTCAGCCCAATGTATGAACAAAGAAGAATTCGAATTCAAACTTCAGAGGTTCTGCCCCCCCCCCCCAATACATAAACATTTTGGCTATATATATAATTCTCATTTTCGAAAGCTCAGCCCAAAAGCAGAGTTTTGTTGAATATTAAGTCTACAGAGATTAGTATAGAGAATTCGGAATTCGAAAACTCAACCAAATGACAAATGTTGATTGGTGGCCAGTTGTTAGGGAGACTTGAACTGTACACTTTCGAAACCTCAACCGAAAGTTCTAGTCTTAAACACAAGATTAAACTCTTAATATTTCAATAGCCTAGCCCATTGTCACACCCTTCCTTATTGGTTAATTTGCATGTTTTCACAACCTAATTTTTTTAACAGATAAACTTCTAAAAGACAACTGAAATTATGTTACCTATTGGATGTTTCTACAGATCGACTCGCATCACACATTTGCTTATACAGTATTGAAAGTAAATGGAATTCCCCTCAAATGCACGAGTAGCTGTTTGTTTCAAGTTGTCCTAAAATGTATGCATAATCTTGTTTTCAGGTCAACTGTAATGGGGGTCTCCTTCTGTAAACAATCTTGAGATTTAAAAATGGTCAAATATTGATTGTCTGGATCACTACCGGTCATGTGACACGCTTAACTTTGAAGTTGCCAAATTTGGGATGTCACGACAGTACGGGGGTCACGCGCACTTGAGTTTCATGACAAAGCTCTTTCTTTCTTTTTTGAAATATTCATTTTAACTACAGTAAACTCCGATGTTCATTTTCAGCACAACCTCGTTCCCAGGGCCTTTTTTGAAAATATTTTCAGCAGCTTTTTGTTCAGACAAGTCACCATAAACGCTATATGGTCGTTTCGTCCCAGGTCGTTTCCTGCCCTTGCCGTTTCGTCCCAGGTCGTTTCCTGCCCTTGCCGTTTCGTCCCAGGTCGTTTCCTGCCCTTGCCGTTTCGTCCCCTTCACGTTTCGTCCCCAACACGGACGCGACCCGAAAATTGGTAGGACTACTTTTGGTGGCATTTTGCATCATAGCGCTCGTGTAAGAAAGCAAAAAATTTAGGTTTTGTCCTATATGTCGAAGATTATCACAAACTGACAAAACTGACACAATTTTTAATGCAGTGCCACTCGACGAACTGATGTCCGTGTTGACAAAAATATTGCGATCTTCAGCTCACTAATGGCAGTCATTCTGTCATTGGTCTAGTTTTCCTCAGACTCAGTTCCAATTAAAATAAAGTCAAGTGTCACTATAATAGTCACTGACAACAGCAATATTAATATTGTGAAATAAAAGCCAAATATTTAAGTTACATTTCAAAGTTTCGGAATTTAAATACAAAAATGTGTATTATCCAGGCATACAATCCACTGAGATACAATCTCAAAAAGTAAGATATATTGTATTAAGGAAGTAGGTTATATATAAAACAGTATCTAGTCTGGGGACGAAACGTGAAGGGGACGAAACGGCAAGGGGGCGAAACGGCAAGGAGACCCCATAAACGGAGCAATCCAATATCTGTGTCTACCTATAGGTTCACTACTTACGATACTTGGTGTAGGATAATCAATCTGGCCTGGTTCCGTTTCCAAAATGCTGGAAACGCGTTCACTGTCATCTCCAATACTTGGTGTAGAGTAATTGATCTGGCCTGGGCGCTGTTCCAAAATACTATAGGCGCGTTTTAGTTCTTATTTACATAAAATGCATCGTTATTTTTTGCGCCTAGTTTTCTGCTGTAATTAACATTGGGTGACAAAACCATTTGATTCGGATTCTCATAAAATATATGTCCAAAGTATACAGTCTTGCACACTCGTAGAAATTAAATTTACTTTGAATTTTTATTTTGTCTTCTAAGTTTTATATCTATGTGTATATATCAATTGATAGTCCAGAGTTTCTCTGTCCACTGAACTGCATATACGTCCGTTCACGTATCTTGTGGTTAGGCGTTGTCCAGGGGCGAAACTTGAGGGTGGGGGGGGGGGG